CGCAGCTTTTTTTGTTGTATAGTTGCTGTTATCAGGAAGATGCTACTGCCCATCTCCTGCTGTTTGCCTCTGTCGCCTTTTATGACACCCACGGTAAGTTATGGGGTAGTGGATATTCTTAACCGCCACTACACGGCGGTTACCAAGTTATCATCAAGGGTAACATATATAAGTTACTATACCGTACCACACCATACTATATCTACGCAACATGCTCGTCAAGATGCTGCTGCCCATTTTCAAAATATCGCCAATTTGGTCGATAAACTTTTTTCTTGGGCGTCCTTTCCCGACTCTGCCATTCACATCTGCCATATAAATTTGCTTTGTCACTCTTTCCTCATTCATTCTTTCTACATGACCTAAAAACCGAAGCATTCCTTTTTTAATCCTGGTCACAACATCATCTTGCATACCACATTTATCTCTTATCACGCAATTTCTCACCCAGTCATTCAGATTCAACCCTAGCATACTCCTTAAGGACCGCATTTCTACAGCATTTATTCTACTTTCGTGCTTCTTCTGCCACACCCAACTTTCACTACCATACATTAAAGTAGGGACTCACACAGCATTATGAATTACCATACGTGCCTTTTTTGACACATTCTGATTCTTCATAATAGAGTGTAGTGCCCTATTCCTCTATTCCCTGCATTTACTCGTCGTTCTATATCCTTATCATATCTACCATCCCTTTTAAATGCACATCCCGAATACACAAACTCATCCACTTGCTCAATTAACTCTCCTTCTATTCTTATTTCACATACCGTTTTGTTTTCTTCTCTTTTAAAAACCATCACTTTCGTCTTACTTACGTTCACTTTCATTCCCCTTTATTTTAATGCCCAGTTCGTTAATGTAACCATCATTTGCAACTCAGCCGCCGATGACGCAAATTTGATTTGATCATCGGCATACAAAAGGCATTTGACGGTTAACTCGCTAATTTAACCCACATTCTTCATCTTTCAAAGTTTGCAAACACCTGTCCAAAAATAGGTTGAACAGCTAAGGGGAAGCTACACAGCCCTGTCTGACGCCTTTTTGGATGCCAAACCAGTCCGAGTAGACCCCATTGATCCCGACACAATCACTAGAGTCCCTATAAAGAGACCTTAATGCCTGTATCAAACTTGCACTCAACCCATATGAGTTCAGTGTTTGCCATAACACATTCCTGTCCACTCTGTCATAAGCCTTTTCAAAGTCCATGAACGCACAAAAAACTTTCTGGTTTTTGGCCAAAAACTTGTCCGCAATCATGCGCATGGAAAAGACTTGATCTGTATACCCCATTCCTTTCTAAAAACCCGCTTGCACATTACACAACTCTTATTCTGATTAAAATAAATATATTTGTAATTTAAATGTTTTTTTTTTATATTTGACATATATACCTTTTAAAATATTCAGATAAAAATATCATTAAAATGTAATTGTGATATAATTATATGTAATGTTATATTAAATAAGCAAAAATATTATACAAAATAAATGACAATTTAAAAATTGTTCTCGATATAATTTACCTATTTAACATTACAATCTATTATTACCTTACCTACCTTTGAGTATTAAATAATATTGTTATTTATTATGAGTATTATGTAATTTAATATTAATATTAGTATTAAATTATTAATACTCAAAGTTACCTACTATTCGTACTACCTATGTTTATTCTATGATAAAAAAACCAACCGCGCGAACATAGTGTAACGCACATTTTTTTGTTTCAAATAGCTGTTCTAGTACGTAAGTACATATTAGTTCAATGATCATAGCTATATTATAGACTACAAATGGTAGCGTCTTTGCAAGGGCCATGATTTCGGGTTTTGTGACCGGACGTAATCGGAAAGAGCATCTTGCATCATCTTTTTCGTCTGGCACACCAAACAATTAAAGTAGTAATATTTTCTAGTATATCATCACTTCACAATATTTCTAGCAATTTTTTGACATGCTTTCGTCCCTTTTTATGATTTATCAATGACGAATCATCGTGAGGTACTTTAACATTACAAAATTGTCAATTTACCACACCCAGATTAAATTCGGTAAATTCCATCTCAAAATTAATACACTGGTGATATTTTCGCTGAACTGCTATCAACAGCTCTGATATCTTTTTTTTCTTTTTGTTTTATAATAACGTTACCTTCACACTAGACATTTTTCCAAAGTATATTGTGGGGCTCTTAATCTTCATTCGTTTACGCTAGCGGGAAAAATTTATACGTTCTGTCGTTGCACTATAGGAAAGCCGGCGGGTGTGTTTCGTCTCAAAACTTCATATTTTAGTTGTTTCATATAATGAATTAAGCTGTAATTTTACATAAGTCTACTTGGATATATTATAGTCTTTATTGAAAAAACATATTATGAGTTATATCTTTATTACATGACAAAGAAATGCATTAATTTTTTTACATAAAATGGGCTGTTAAAATAATATCAAATCAAATCTTAATAAATATACACAAAATTTCTTGAGTTTCTATAGAACTTCATTCAGAGCAAGAAGAGCTTTGGCTTCATCAAATAATTCCTTTGTCACTGTTTCAAGTTTTTGAAAAAATTGATTTTAATCTCTCGCGATGTATTTTGGATCCGTATCAAAAAGGAGCAAGTAATAGCATTTTTTTTTATCCCTAAACAGAGTTATGTGTGAAGATCTTAATGCAGTATAAATACCTCAACATCGGCAAGCATCGGTAAGAGATAAATCTCTTGTAAAAAGTGTAAAAAACCACCATCTTTAGCTATATTGTTTTTTTTTTGTTAAATAATATAATATATTATTTTCAAAAAAATTGTAGAAGCATATAATATTTCCAAAAATGTATAATACTTATATGGAAAGCTTTCAAGTAATGTGACTTTGAATCGTAATAACGTATTTCGTCAAAATGATCTAATCGAACAGGACCAAGATTTGATGCTCTTTTATACTTATGTTAAACATACAAAATAAAATAAAAAATACCTGAAAAGAAACTTTATTTATAATAGTATATTAATTTATAATTTTAATCACCTAACAATGACTCGTTAAAAACGATTATGGGACGGTTTTGTATGGGGTTTTCCTATAGTGCGTTGGGAGGATCGGGAACTCACTAATCGGCCAGCATTTGTGCGCGGTGATTTAAAGTATTTATAAAATAATCGTAATATCAATTGAGTAAATAAAACTAAAACCACAAATAGGATATAATCGTAATATCAATTGAGTAAATAAAACTAAAAACACAAATAGGATATTAAGCATTAAGCCTATATTTTGATAAAATAATTATAAAAGACATTGAAGTAATATGTACTTACGTACTAGAACAGCTATCTCAAACAAAAAATGTGAGCTACTATGTGTTCGCGCGGTTGTTTTTTTTATCATAGAATAAAAATAGGTAGAATGATCCGTAGGTAATATTAGATTGTATTGTTAAATAGGTAAATTATATTGAGAACAATATTTAAATTTTGTCATTTATTTTGTATATTATATTTGCTTATTTAATATAATATTACATAATATTATGTCACAATTACATTTAATGATATTTTTATCTGAATATTTTAAAAGGTATCTATGTCAAATATAAAAAAAAACATACTAAATGTATGTTAAGGAAAACTAACATAACATTTAAATTACAAACATATTTATTTAAATTAGAATAAGAGTCGTTCATGAATGCTGGACACGCGAGAGTTAAAAATGGACGAATTTATTCCACCTTGACTTTAATGTGGAAACCTAAAAATAAAATAAAAGAATAATAAGCAGATAAACATTAAAAATTTAGCCTAATTATAATAACTTATATATTATGTTTCTACAAAAAATGTGTATAATAATATATTCGTCCTATACTTTGCTTATACTTTGCTATATAGGACGAATATGCCCACAGAAATATCGCATCTGAACATATTAATTTCATAATCTATATTTCATGACACGAGATTGGCGTCTTAGAAATAATTTGTTTTATTATTAATCTATAATACTTTTTTATCGATTAAGTATCTTTTTACTGACATTTCTTGAATTATTTGTGCAATATCTAAGTACACATGACGGCATATTTTTACCAAGAGATTTTTTTAAACACGTGGCGACTCCACAAGCGCCTAGCGAGTGACTGATTAAAAGTGCGGTGTAAGCACCGCAGTAGAGTGGAACAGAGTAGCTGAATGCAGTGTCGCCTCTAGTACGTAGTACATAATAGCTCAATGATAAAAGATAAGTTTATATTCAAATCACACGAAAAAAATGACATTGAAGTAAACAGTTTGTGATTTTATAGTAGTTTGTTAATATTAAATCGAAATATTTTCGTAATTCAGGCTCTGTGTTGCACTTCAAGACTATATATTCCGTTATAATCATGCTTATAATAAAGTATTTTAGCTTATAATAATGGATGTATTCGACCTGAAAAGACAGCTCCGAGGTATATTTTCGTAAAATGCTATGGAGCGATTGCCTTCGCTCTAAAAAAATCGTGATTAAAATCATAATTTTGCTATGTACTGCACTAAATAAAGACTTCATCTTTCTAATGCTGTAATTTTATTACAATAATCTGTTTACATCGTTACGATATTGCCCTTGGAAAAACCCTAAAACATGAAGTTTTCGACGCGAATCGTCTATGCACTCCTAATATAGGAAGTATTATGTACACGAATCTACGGAAACGTCAGTATCATTCAGAAAATAAAAAGTAAGTAGATAAAGCTTTTTATGTGTAAAAGTAGGTACGATATCTGCCAAATTCATCAAGACATGTTAATATCCACACCAACAATCACGTTAAGATTTTAAGAACAAAATAAATATAACGCTAACCTCAAATAAAGTAGTACCGACACTGATGTTAGTCCTATAAATAAACTAGGTGTCTCGGAAGTTTAACTTTAGTAACACAGTTAATACTTGGATTAAAGATAGTTCTCGTTTTATCATTATGTTTTATGTACTATATTTCTTCCGTGTTTCGGAATAAGGTCGTAAGAATGCTATTCGGCAGTTTCGTCCTCAAGGCTGTTAAGTGATTTTGGTCTTTTAAGTGATTGAAAAGAGCATCTTTAGTCAGTACTGTCTGGCACACAGAACAATTAAAGCAGTCATCTTTTTCTAGTATTTTGTTATTTGATAATATTTCTCGCAGATTTCTGACGTGCTTTCGTCCTTCTATATGCATTTTCAATTGATACTTTATTTTAGGTACTTTTACATTACAGACTTGGCAGACTTGATCTTGTCTCTTGATTATAGTATCTTTATATGACTTGGTATCTCTTTTATCTTTGTTTTCTGCTAAAGCATTTACTATATCATTAGTTAAAGTTCTGATCATATTCACTGCATGGGATCGCTTATTTATATGATCGAATTGGTCTCCTACAGTCACATGTTCACGGCAGCCGTCACAAAAATACTGGTTCCCTATCAGCTTCAACCGGTTCTGTACCAGTATTCTAGCACTATTATTATGGTTGTACCCATTAAAGTGATCTTGAATATTCTGTGTTTTATTTGGAATTATCACTAAGCATATGCTGCACCTCAACTCGTTCGGATTTAACGTGATTTCTAAGACATCTTCCGCTGTTTCACTAGTAACGGAGATTGAATTTTTAATATCTTGTTCACTTGCTGTTTGTGTTATAGGGTTTGAGTTTGTATCTTTTTTTGTATCTATTTCTCCGTTTCCTTTAGCGACTGGAATATTTATAGCAACACTTTCTGACGACGTGTCCTTCAAAAATATCTCCGATGGAGGATTAATACTAGCATTTTCTTCTTCAATTTTAGATACACTTTCCAAATTCCCACGAGTGCTCTTAACATGTTTTGTGCACGTTTGGTAGTTAGCCACATTATGTTTATGCAAATTTCCACTGAAATGTTTACTGATGCAATGGGTATTGTTTGGTACATTTTCTTGGCAAACGACACAAAACCGTTGTTTAATATCGTTGCCTGTTAATTTTGTACTAAGCTTTCTTTCGAAATCTATGTCTATGTCTATGTCTAAATAATCAGCTTCAATACAATACTCCAACATGCATTCGGCCGCTTTATGCGTACGTATATGTGAACGAATATCTTTTTTGTGAAGTGAAACGTAACAGACACTGCAAAAAAAATTCTTAACTTTAGATGTATCAGTTTTACTAGCTTTCGATCGTACAACACTCTCATTCTTTTCAAGCTCCGACTGTGCGTTCTTTATATTAATATCGGTAGTTTTAGTAGCGCAATCTTTTGGTTCTTTTTCTTCATTACTTTCAAATGGAGTAATATTTGTTTTGTTATCATCACTTCGTGTTTCAATTTTTATTTGGCTCTCATTTTCCTCTTCAGATAACAAGATGGCACTTTTCAACGACGCTTCGTGTCTTTTGTTGCAAAGTGCGTGGAAATCAGCACTTTCGACTAACTCATTGCACAGAATGCAATGGCTTTTAGTATTATCCAACTGTAACAAGGAAAGATTTTATGTAGGTACATATTATATCGTATAACGTTATTGAATATCGCGAAGTGGCGATGTCAGCATTATCCCATATCGTCTTGTGGGTGTCTTAAGAAGCGACAGACAGTGGCGGCCTTGGCAAAATTTTTATGTGGTGCGAGATCTCATAGTGGTCTCTAAATACAAAACATTAGTGTTCCTATACTATGCAGTTGCTTTTTCGTGATTTTAAATAGTATTAGACCTATGAAATATCCACAGGTGTATATGCGAGGCAAGCACAGTTGTGTCTGTCGCTCTTTCCATAGCAGTTGTTCAGCTTATTCGCGTGAAAGAAATGTTTTCCATTCCGCCACTATGCTTGCCTTGCTACGGTGACTAGTTGTACAGATTATTTCTCATAATAAGAGTTAATAATCCTGTTTGACAACTTTTATTTCAACTGTTGTCCTACAGTGTTAAAAAATATAACAGAACCACTAACAACAAACTTAACGAAAAGCCTAGATGGCCAGCTTTCTTCGCTTATGCGCTTGCAATTTTTTTATTTATTCTGAATAATTTAACTGCTGGGCAATAGAATAAAGATTTCAAGATATGACAGTCTTTCCTGACACGTAGTAGAAACGTAGGTAAATTTTTAAATGTTTTAATGTACTAAAAATTCGTTTCCGTTTAACGACAGATGAAGTACATGTATAGTCAGCAAGATACGAAGTGCTGGCTACACATTTTGGAAAAATATCCTGGAAATCATTCGTTTTTAATAAGTCTGAGAACTTTACGTGGCTCTGCTGTTTGAAGATCTTTCAATAATGGGTTCAAGCTCACAAGTTCCTGAACCAATTTACAACTAGACAAATCACATTATGCCCATCTCTTCAACTGATTTGCAAATCAACACAGGATTTTTTACCTTTCTGGAATTATTTTCATTTTGTATAAAAATGCACACGTATCATAGAATTTTGATAGTTTAAGTCAAGTTACCAATGCACTTTTTAATTGTATCAAACACAGGGTACAAAACGTTCAATTTAAACAATTCTTTAGGTGTTGGTGTCTCACCTACGGCTTCGTACACAAATAATGTTTTCTTTTTTCGGGATCGGCCTGGCTTAAAAATTGGATCTATCTGTTATTAGATGAAAATGCTCGGCACTGTATCAAAATTCTGACAAAATTTTTAAACATTACGACACCTTTGGTAAATCCATAGATTCAGATTGCATAGCTTTTTTTATGCAGCAGCTATGCAGGTCTAGAAAGACCAGTATAACTGCGATCTTAAAGATCAAGTGATCGCTGCTATGGCTATAGACAACGTAACGTTCACTGTTAAGCCAATTATTATTATTAATATGTCTTCAATGAATAGGAGTTGCTTAGCTGTGAGCAATTTCAATTCTTCTGGGCGAAGTAGATATAGTTTCCCAGATGTGTTACGTTTACGCATTAACGGTCCACAATCAGTCAGGTTATGCAGAGGTGTTTCTTCCGTTAAGGAACAAAACCGGCACATCATTGAGTTGCTTGGTCTACACTTAGTAACAATGTCCAGTCAGGGCTCTTGCCAGAATGCGCAGTTTATTTTTACCTAATCTCAGGGCTTCTGAAGCGAATTTACGATCAAAAACCCGGATTAAGGTTTCAAAATATTTTAAGTCGGGTATATCAGACCAAATTTTAAGTGATTTATTGTGATAAAGAGTTTTAAGGGTCAATCGGGCTCGGTTTAATTAAATTCCACAAAATGGCTGGGTTTCAAATTGTGTGCTCTTTATAGCTCTCCCATGCGAGTTCATCGGCAAGTTCAATGCCTACAACACTCCTGCGACACGGAATCCATCTTAAAACGACCCTGTTGTTAAATTCCAAGGCCTTTAGACGGTTCACGCAGTCCCAACTAGCTTCGAGTTCACTAAGTTTGATCTCAGTGCTAGCAGTGCTACTTGACTATCAGAGTTTAGGTATATAGGTTATATGATTGAAGTAGTGTTTTTGCAGATTAATTTCCACACGCTGAAGTATGGCGAAAATTTCTGCCTGAAAGATAGAGGTGAAGCTAACCTAATTCATACTAAGTTTGAATTTGGGGCATTCCCCATAAATTCCAAAACCTACGTCGAGGTCCATTTTTGACCCATCTGCGAACCATATAAGGCTTCCGACCTCAATGATAATCTGTCCATTCAGCCAGTCTTCTGTGGAGGGTAGTTCCACTATATACTTTCTATCAAAAGTGCATAGTGGACGCACGATATCTGAGATCATGCATAAGACCTGTTTCCTTAATTGAGTAGAGCATGGATCACAATTTTTAGGAAAGCAAGCGCAGACGGCCCTGAGCGTTAATCCTATGAAAACTAGCCCTCGCCTCCTGGTCTAAATAAATATCAAGAGGCATTAGGCACAGAAGTGCGTTAAGAGCTGCTCAAGGCTAAAATCGCATCGCTCCAGTTGCCATTGAGCAGGCAGTCCTTTGTAGACTATTTAGTCGTCAGACGCCTTTTGGTTGGCCTTTTTATACCAGACAATGGTGGCGTAGGTGATAATCGGCCTCACTATGATGCGGTACAGGCATAGGATCATACTGGGACGCAAGCCCCAGTTCCCAACCATACGACTGCACGTACCTAAAACAATTTTAACCGTATGACATACGTTGCTAAGGAGAGAGTTCCACGTTAGTTTTTGGTTGATTGTTACGCCCAAATACTTAACTTTTACGATATTTAATAAAAAAACCAGGCATTACGTTGCGGAAATCCTTTATATTGAAGTTGTTAGAACTTAATTTGCTCATTTTCGTGTAATAAAATACAATGATATGTCATTCCCAGTCTAAAAAGCACCCACCTCCCACCCTCCCTCAGTTGCGTACACTATCCCCTTCACAACTTTATTATTATACCAATTTATTATTATAAATAGAATCAAGAAATGTAAATGTTTTGATATTCGTGTTCAGGTCATTGGTTCTGGTAGTGTATTATTAAAAAAAATTGTATGATGTGCCAACTCGAAAGAAACTCGACTCTAGTTAACTCGAGTTGAAATTAAGGTAACTCGAGTTACGCAATTAAATTTAGCCGAACAAAACTGTGTCAATTTGCCGCAAATTATTTTTATATTTGTTTTTCCCTCCAACACAATTATTATTTCTCAACTTTATAGGTAGTTATATATTTTTTGTTTGCATATCGACAATTTTCATAAAATAATCACTCTAACTTTATGACGTAGGTTTTAATGTCACAAATTATATTAAATCAATAAATTATCACAAATTGTAGACAGACACTGAATTGACCATAAGATAAAGATGCGACTCGAGTAGAATTTTGCGTTAGGTTAGTTTATGTGCGTATGTCATTCTAGTTGTACACGAGTTTTTGAGTAAATCGACTATTAATACGAGGGGCAGGCACACTGAAATGATCCGGAATAAGAAAAACCACATGCCCGGTATAGCTAAATTGTATTTTATTGTTTTTCGAAGTATTCTCCGTTCAACTTAATGCACATTTCCATTCGTGCAAACGAACCATTAAAACAGTAATTCCAGTCTGAAGTTGATGTTGACAAAATGGATGATTTGTACGCTTCCACAGATGCTTCGGGGTCTTCAAACCGTTGACCGTGTAATAAATCTTTCTTTCTAGGGAATGTAAAGAAATCGTTTGGGCCCAGGTCAGGACTGTACGAAGGATGGCTCAACGTTTTCCTGCTTCAAAAAATAATTTGTCTTCAGAGCCGTATGAGAGCTCACATTATCGTGATGTAAGATGATGCGACGTTTCGAGTTATTTTTTCGGAGTCCAGCTATCATTTCTGGCAAACAAACCGTGATATACCACTCAACGGTAACCGTTCTGCGTCCCTGTAAAGGAATTGTAGCAACATGCCCCTTTTTCGAGACAAACGTAGCGAACAGTTTCTTTGACACGCTCCGGGAGCGAACCATATTCGTTGGTTTGACCTCGTCTTCGAAGACCCAAACTGCTGACTGATGTTTTCTTTCAGGTTCGTATGAATAAGTCCATGATTCGTCACCTGAGACGATATTATAAACGGCATTTGACTTCCCTCCGTTGAAGCGTTGCAGAGTATTCCGGCACCAATCTACACGAGCCGCCTTTTGCTTTTCGGACAAATTGTAGGGAACCCAGCGGGAAACTAGCTTTCTTACACACAGCTCATTATCTAATATCGACTGAATTGCAGTCATTCCGATACTGATAACAGCCCGAATCCGCTCGTATGTCACATGACAGTCATCTAATATAATAGGTCGCACAGCTGCGATGTTTTCAGGTGTGACCGCTGTTCTTGGTCAACCTGCAAAAGAAACAGTGCTGAGCGACACACAACCGCGTCGAAACTCGTCATACCAGCGGTATATTGTCGTTTGACTTGGTGCTTCAACATCATAAATCGAAACAAGTTCGCTGAGACATTTATCTTCAAATAAGCCGCGACAAAAATTGTGATAAATTATGGCACGGAAATGTTCACGTGTGAGTTCCGTTTCTGTTAACGACGTGTCAACTTTAAACCGACATTGTTTTTGTTTTTAACATTTTTGTAATTGTTTGAATGTTATTAAGATTCTAAGAGGCCAGTATTTAAATACTAAAAAAGGTTTTATTTTAACTCAATCCGAAATATTCTATTCCCGATCATTTCAGTGTGCCCTAACGTACCTGCATCTAGTAAACGTTTATCACTAGAGTTGAGAGTAGCGATTACTTTAGTTAAAGAATTTTTAAATATGTAACTTTATTAAATAAGTAATGTAATGTATGAGTAATGAGGCAATATGAAATGAAATGAAAATATTAAATATTTATTTATTGTAGTATTTCCATATTTTTTTCATGTTTAGTATTTTAAAATCTATAAACTGCTTTTTACATATCTCACAAACAATTTTCTTCACGATATTATATTTTTTCAAAATAAAGCCACACTGACGATTTTTGTTTTACTGTTTCATTGTA